GAACTTTCAAGAAAACAAAATTTTAAATTCCAGTCACTGTTTACTGTTCATAATGTACAAAAGATACAAATAAGCCAGTTCAGAAACATAACCATCTCTTGTTAAAATAGAAGGCGTCCCCCAGCCTCCTATCCCCTCCCATTTCCCATTTAGGGAACAGAAACTGTGCTGCCTTGCACAATATCTCTTGTCATCCCCCAAAACAGCTACCATAACAACTTCATTAGAAGATACCTTGAAAACCTCCTTCAGTGTAGTATGGTATGAAGTCTAAGCACAGTTCACTTCAAAAGCAAATTCACAACTCTAATTATTTAATAGTGTCTTCTAGCACCACTATGTGTGTGTGTGTGTGTGTGTGTATAGATACATATATTTATACACCTAAATACAAAGTTTCATATGTGTATACACACATTTTATACACACACTGTAATGTAAGGTATAACAACACAAGTATAAATTCAACAACTAGAATGTAGTAGAATGCTAGAATATACTTTTTGAAAGTTCTATCTATTGAGAGACAGATGACCCACTAAATAAATTCTGACAATTCTGCAGACCTCAGGAACCTATTCTCTCATTTTGAACTATTAGTCTATAAAGTCAGTCTAAGTACTCATTTCTATCAAATTCATGGAAAAAGCAAAAGAGTTAGAAATATAAAAACCCTCCCAAGGTGACATTTATTAGCAATAGTGCATCTAGCTTGAAATACAATCCCATTCTGTTCAGTTATTACCCACTTATAGGTAGATGTTGAAGGAAATTCAGAAGTGAATAACTATAGACATGGCCTAAAGAACATGTGATGTGACCAAAGAAAATAAACAAAAGGGAAGTAAAAAGGAGAAGGGAGACAACCCATGATGTTACAATCAAATCAGTGCCTCAAAAACAGCATAAAATTTTCTGAGTGTCCTAAGACATGTCTTTTTTGAAGGGTGTCACTTCAGAAAAACTCGAAGGCAAAGTAGTAAATAGATGGATAAATTTAGGTGGAATTAGGAATGGAAGAGCAGGAATGTAGCAAAGAGATGGTAACACATTGTATATACTCAAGGCGTCAAGATTATCAATTACAGAGAATTTAGAAATGGAAAGTAGATCCACGATATCAAAAGCCATAATGTAGAGGCTGTATTTAATGAAACAAGGAAAGAGCTCAAAACTATAGGGCTCATGATCTTAGACTTCAATCAATTCATTCATCTTTGAAAACATACTGTTTGTAGGATAGAAGATACCTACTGGGAAGCCCAAGACTAAGTTGCAAAGAAACCATATTGTCTACATCTCCCCATAAGAGTATGTAATTCTTACAGAGAAGAAATCTGTTTGGAGAAAATGGCCAGCTTCTATTACTAAGTTATACTCAAGCATTCTCTGACATAAGTCTGTTTATGAAGATCAAACTTGACAATATGCAAACTTCCCTAAAAATAATTACAAATCTCTATGCCATCATGCATGTACCATAACCTTAACTGGCATAAATGTTCTATATCACATTTATGTTTCAGTCTAAATTTACCGAATCTCAGGCTTTAACTTGTAATTATCCTTTAAAGGACCAAGATTTTCATAACTTCATATATGAAGTTTTGGAGGCAGTCACAAGTCACTGTTTGATGAAAGGAAGCTGTCATTAGTCAAACAATCTGGGCATATGTATTTTATCGGGAATATTCACTTGAATTAACCCTCTGTTATATCTTTTGGTATAGAAACATATACAGTAAGAAAATTTATACAATTAACAATATGTCTCAACAGGATACTTTCAAAACAAAGGTCACAAATTAATAATATTTAAAACTTATGTTTTTAATTCCAATGAAAGCAGAAAAAAGAAGTTACTAAAATAAATGTAAATGATATGCTAAGCTACTTGTTTCTAGAACACAGCAATTAATTTAAAAATGAAATTTCCCTGGGGTCCTAAACTATTTTTATTACCTAAACAATGGTAGTAAGTTTTCTTGTTGCATTCAATCACAGTTAAGAGTAATGATGAGGCCAGAATTTAACTACATATTTTTAGGCCTTTTTTTCCTCATTTAAATTTTAAAATTCTTCAAGACATTACATTGTCCTTAGACAGGGTTAATAATCTGTGTACAAAAAGTTCAAGATACTGTTAAACATATAACTATACTGGACAAAGTGAGATTTGTAGCTTCTAGGGTTATTTTAAGTTTATTTTCACTAAATATTGGTATTCAGATAAACTAGTTAGCATGGATAAATACGTTTTAGGTATGTGTAGGGAATAGTTACTCATGAAAATAAATTTGTATATGATGCACTTTTAGTAACATTTTTAAATTATTCTTGGAAATTTCACAACAATTTGTTAATTACTTTGAAAACGATGCAGTAGAAAGTAATGATTTTTTTGTACATTTATTTCATCAAAAGAATAGACTCAAAATACAAGACTTTGCATGTAGGAGGTGCTATATAAATTTTGAATACATGAACATATTAGTAATGGCAATAAAAGTGGGGAACATAATAAAGAAATATTATTGTAAATTGCCACCTATTTACAAGATGGTAAGTCAATATATTAACAACATTGCAAATAGGAAAAGCAAATTACTGAGACTTATTAATATGAGAGATTTGGGGAAGATAGAAATACTAGCAAAAAAAAAATCAGTTTCTGTGCCCTCTGGTGGCAATAAAGTCAACTGCAGTATTTACTAAAGTATTGCAAAATAAAATGGCCCTGTTATGAAATCAGATTTTTTTTCCCTTGTGCCAAATGTCTGTAATAAAAATTCTGATTGCTAAGTGCCAAAATTCAAGACTGTTGGATTTTTTAATTTTCCCATACTGAACTTTTAGCTAGGCTACTTTACAAAGGGCAACATCTTTTTTTCTCCTTTTCATTGCTACAGTTTATAAATTCAGGTTAAACATTTAATTATAAGATTATTTGGAATTCTTAGACTTATATATAGGGAATAAGCTACTTCAGTTTGTAATAAACTTCCAAAGAATCTCACAAGACATTTATCACTACTGCTTATTTACTCAATTCTGTAAATACATGGGTTCCTCCAATGGTTTCCACCAGAAGTATTGGACTTGTTTAAAATTCCTGGATATTTAGTTGAACAATTCAAGAATTTATATTAGCCAAAGCAAAGGGTTTTGTTTATCGGCACTCTTAAGGCAGAATGAATTTCATCCTAAACTTGAGGACTTGGAATAGTAAATTGTGTGTGTATATAAAAAAGAAAATATCAACATCTTATTGACATTTCTTTGTTTTTAATTTTTGCATTATTTATCGCCATTGTCAAAGTGTTCAAGCTAACAACTTGGAATGCATTTTGGAACACACTTCTCTAACCTCCCATAGGATGCAGTAATTGCTTGAAGCATTTATTCATTCCATGGATATAGCCATGACAATGACTGCTGCACCTTTTAAAATAAATGTATTATTTTCCTAATAGGTAAAAGTGTGTGTGTGTGTGTGTATTTTTTAAACCAATGATATCTACAAGAGAAATAAAAGGTTTGGTAATTAACATAAATCAAAACCAACCTATGTCCAATTATACAGAAGAATTACATGTGATAAAGATAAATCAACAGCCAGTTAACCTGAGTTTAATTCGGTTTTAAAATTGTTGTGACAATTTTGGGCCCCCACACCCAAGCACACACCTGTCCAGTCAGAATCTGTGCTTTCGCTATAAGAAATACCATCACCAGCAGACACGGTATTTTGTTGTCCTCTGGTTCTCAGCCTGGTGAAATTTCATTGAAAGATTTCTTGCAAGAGCCATCTCACCTGGAAGATCCAGGTGACTCCCCTAATCTTCCACCTGCGACTTACAGGTGTGATATATATTAGCGAGCACGTGTACTTTCTGAGGAATCACTTATCATCACCATCATCCCTCAGACTCAAACACAACCGTGATTCTCCTAACCAGAAAGTTTTGTTTCCTTTTCCCCTCCAGGTGGGCTTTGCTCATTTCACCTCCTCTCGAAGTCTAGTTCACGAGTTTCTGCCAAGGTCTTTCTCTACCTTAATTTCTGTTTTTCGCTTTCTTGCTGAGGGGCAGCAATGGGGAGTGGACACCGTTCACAGTGGGCAGGATTCGGAGAGGCGACTGGATCTCAGGTTCAAGGGCGCCTCACAGGGAGGAACCGGCCCAGCGCAGCCCAGTGGAATCGGCCCTCCTCCCGGGGGTGCGGCTCCTGGCAGGCCCTGCACCCGGCGCCGCCGCGCAGGAGGCGCCGCCACCTGGAAGACGCCGAGGCAGAGTCGTCCATCCGCGGCAATGTCACGGCCCCGGAAGGAACCGCCCGCGCTCAGGCTTCTCCGCGAAACCAGCCCGCGGGAGACAATGGGGCGAGGGGTGGGTCTCAGAGGTGCGTGTGCCCCACCTCTGCCACCAACTCTCCTGCTTCACGCCCCAGCGTAGTCGCCCGCCCCACCTCCAGCACCAGCTCAGCCCCAGACAGCAAGAAGCTAAAGGAGGGATGGCCGTGGGGAGGAAGGCGAGGCCACCGCGAATATTCTCCACCCGAGGGAAGCCCTGCAACCCCAGGCTGCCACCGCGTCCAGCACCCCGGGCTCCCGTCACGCACTCGTCGGGTCCTTCCAAGCAGCAGGGAAGGAGGAGGAGCCCAGTGGAGACAGCCCGGGGCAGCGGACTCCAAGGCTGGGCGGTCACAGAACGAGGTCTGCTCTCCCACCGGAGCCCTGCCTGGACTACTTGGGGGAGACAGTCGTCCTCCCGACTGCTCAGGTGGAACAAGCCCTAAATCCTCACGAATACTCCCTTTCTCCATCACCCTTCTCTAGGCAACCCTCCTCCCCACTTGGCAAGCCCAAGTTTACCCGAAAAACCGATTGCAATAACTTTAACGAGGGCGGAGGGATGAAGTGGGTACGCGTTGGGTAGAGGGGTGCCAGAGACTTGGGCTCTCCGCTGTGCACAACATCAACGAGCAAAAGTGCATCTTACCATTGATTTGGTTCCCAGGCTCCCCTTCAGCAAACTGAAACCGGTCCATTAGAAAGTGGCAAAGTAACACAACTCCAGCAGCGGCCAGGTCGACCCTCAGGAACCCCGCCATGCCGCCGCCGCGACCTCCCTCCCTCTCCCCGCCAGTCCTTCCCCGCGCCCAGCGCTCGGGGTCTGGGGTAGGGTGGGGAGCGCGAGCAAAAATAGCTGAAGACCCTCAGAGCTGGCCCCAGTGGTCTCCGTAAATTCCTCTGAGCTTTCACCCCCGTGAGCCGGGAAGAGGAAGGAGGGAGTGCAAGCAGCTCAGTCCTCTCCGGACCTCTGGGTCTCTCTCCGCAACTTGCCACAACACTTGCAGCCCGCAATCCAGACACCGAACCACAACTGCGAGCAGGAAAGGCCACTTGCAGTCGGGGCTCGCAAACTCGGTTCCACACAGGCAATGCCAACAGATGATGACTTCCGAGCCCCAGCGATCCGCTCCACCGGGCTCAAAACAGATCTAATTCCACCGCGAGCTAAGGTGCCGCCTCCAGATCCAAAAGGGCTGTCGCCACGGAGGGAACTTTCCCCGGTATCGGGATGGCTCCCAAGAGAGGTCTGGGTTTTCCGTAAGGGGGTTACAGTGGGTAGGCGAAACCCCTCCGACAAGTTTTCCTTTTTTCTTCGCCCAAAACAGGGCGCGCGTCCTTTTTCACAGCCAGAGGGCGAGGGATGGGCAGCCCCAAAAAGCTGAGCCCCGGCAAGGCTCAGGCTGCAGCAGTCTGAAGTCCGAAGCCAGGAAGAAAAAAATAAAATGTGATTTTTTTTTTTTCAAAAAGGGAGAGAAAGACGAAAGAAACAGGAGGTGTAAAAGTCAGGCTGAAACCTCGCTGGAAAGGTTCTTCCCGGCAGAGGAGGTGGCCCCAAGGCCGGCCGAGCCCGGAGGAGTTTGGTGGCGGAGGAGGCGCCGCCGCCGCCGCACTCCCCCACGCTCCTGCTCTACACTTCGGGAAGGAAAGGCAGCTCGCAATTTGCCAATTCTGCCTCTGCACCCTCCTCTCTCCTCCCTCCTCCCTCCCCCTTCTCTCCCCCAGGCTTCTCCCACCTTCCTCCCCGAAACCGGCGGCTAGCACCGACCTGTCCAATGGCAGCACTTTCCTCTGGGCTGGCAGAGGACTTGCGGAACCGATTAAGCCGGGGGAGCAAAGCAACGCGGAGCAAGAGGGCAATTCCCGCACGGCGCGCCCCCAGCTGCGAGCGGTCCCGAGCGCCCGGGCAGAGGGCGAGCAGGGAAGGGAGCGCCGGGCTGCACCTCGGCGCAGCCTGGACGCCATCCCTGCACCCAGCTCGCGCCCCCAGCAGCCCCACCGGCGGTGCCACCACCTCCAGGTCCCTGGCAGCCCTAGCGTCCGACTGCGGGGTTCTCGATCCCCAGGCCCTGCGGATGCCGACCACTTGCAGTCTTTCTGGGCGCTAAAGGGTTAATTTCAGCTGGCCGCTCCCAAGAGGGCGTGTGTGGCAATGGTTGGGGTGTGAAGAAAGCTAACCAGAGCCACTTCGGCTACTGACCCTGCGAAGCCCCTTCCGACCCCAGCCCTGTTAGACTGTTGGAGGACGGTAACGCGCAGTAGCAGGGTCCCGCTGCCGCCGCCGCTTTGTAAAGTGTCAGCGGGAGCAGGAGGAGACGTTAAAGAAACAGGAGGCCCATTGAATTTCCTACGGGGCTTTAACTGGCTTTAGCTCGCTAGTTTTGTTTTTGTTTCTTAGCTCTGGGATGTGCTTCACTGTTAACCCTTTCCAGTCCTCTCATTTGTCTGCACCTTATTTGCATAGTTAACCTCGTTTTAAAAGGATAGATACAAAGAAAATAAGCAAAGCATGCAGGAAAGCAAGCAAAACATACTGGTTAAAAGTACAAATTCTAGAACTAGACAGTTTGGTCTAACATCAGCTCTCCAAAACTTAAAGAGCTATATGACTTTGAGCATTTTAATTTCTTAATGCCTCAATTCCCCACCCAAATGGAACAAATACAAAATTGTTGTACTGGATTAAATGAGTGACAGTCTAAAATAATTTATAATGGTACCTGGGACAAAGTACTCGGTTTTATTGGGGGTGGGGGGGAGGAGGAGGAGGGCTAAATCAAATGGAGAATTTGCTTCAGTGTCTTAAGTTCAAAAGGTCCTGTTAGTCTATGCTTTGTTCATTCTGTTCAGCTTTGCAGTCTGGATATTACCCATAAGCACCTTACTCTGGTCACAAAATCCAATGGAAGTGGACCTACATAATCAAACTACCCTGCTAATTTGATGCCTGAGCTGTAAGAATGGCTCTCATGGATTCTTAGCTGGTGAAGAAGCATAACATATTTTCCCTAACCTAATATTCAGTTTTCTAAGCCCCAAATTCAGTTACATCCAAATGTGTATAACTCAGACACACTTACTGTTTAACATTAAGTAGGAAAATTGTCTTCTAGTAAAATCTGTCCTTTAATTTGATGTTTTGTTTTTGTTGGTTTTTGTCTGTATTCCTAGTGAAGTCATAACTTTCATGAATCCATGTGGAAAGCATTCTAAAATGTTCTGTACAATTCTAATCCCCATTAAGAAAATGATGGGAAACCCAGAAGGAGACATCTCAGTAATGATCTCTCTTTTAGTCTGGGCTATTTCCCTGTACTTCCACAGTAGAAATATAGTGTTTCCTCTTCCTCTGAGAAGAAGGAAGTCCCCAGCTATCCCTGGAATCATTTTCTTACATTTTTTTTTATTGTTACATATAAGAATTAGCAGTGTTTACTTTTCTTATTAGCGGTCAGCAATATTTTGTCCTCTTGATTGACATTATATATCTTAAATAGAAATGATGCCAGAAATTGAAAGGGAATCAAGTAAATGAGTGAGACTGGAGAGCCTTTCATGTGCTTTTTCTATGTCACTGGTACTTTTCAGTTGTTTCATTTGCATCATAATCTCACTCTAAAGAGCCAAACAAACACAAAGTAAATATTTACCTGTAGAAGGTACAGAAAAGCAAAAATGAAGCATACATGATGACTTAGTGACCAGAACTTAAGAAAGAACATCAGTATAAAAAACTTAGGCCTTGATTATTTCACCTGAAATTCCAACTAATAGTTATTTGGTTTTTTAAAAAATTTGTCTTTATAACAAACAATAAATAAATATATGTAAGACAGAGAGTATGTACAGAGGGAAATGGAAAGAGTTGATTACTCATATAATCCTGGCTCCTTAAAGCTGTACACTTTGTGACCTAAGGAATTGGAATTGATCACATACATTTCGTGCCAATTGTCTAGTTCAACTTCATGGTGACAAATTAAGAATATTTGTGGAGAAAATTTCATCTTCCACTTGATTTGAGAGAAATTTTATAATGAGTGAAAGCTTGTTTCGATTACTGCATGTATTAGGAACTGAACTGTTTTTTCTTTTCGTACTATCACTGACTTGAACCTCTCATGGAATAAATGAATCAGGAATCAAGTGTGAGTAATACGTAACTTCTGTATACATTAAGGTTTTGAGAATGTTCATCAGGATCATTCTTAAAAACCTGTAACTTTGGGCAGATATTTAGCATTTAGGCTAATGTCTGTTCATATTTCACACCTGTTTGAATCCTACTTGCACCCACCTTCAGAGAAACAGTTATATCTTCTAAGTGCAGTAGTATATATTATAAAGATAGTCACAATTTCCCATTCCCTCTCACTGCCAACGGGCATATTTTCTGTGTTTCTAAGGATATGTTCCTATGTGATCTTAGCTAACAAGACAGCAAGTAAGCATCATGTTCACTTGAGGGGGTGGGAGGAGCAAGATATAATACAAGCTGTGGAGTACTTAGTGATATATATATATATATATATATGCATACAGAACTGGGGTACAGGCCAGAGGTGCAAGGGTGGTGAGAGACTTCACCAGAGACAGAGTGGAGAGCAGAACTGGCTGATGATGAAGTGAACTGCTAAGGGGAGCAGCGGGCAGGCCAGGAGAGGTCTGCAGCACCATGTGGGTCACCTCCAGGGCGTGGATGGAACCCATGCTGAAGTGGCTTTAGCTTCTTTGTGCTGTGCTTTACCCACTGCACCACCCGGAAGGGCCCACAATTATTATATTTTATTTAGCATTATTTCAAATGATTAGTTTTGGCCCACTTTAATAAGATTTGTTAAAACTTTCTAAAACTGGTATCAGATAAAAGAAAGCTATAAGTGGATAGGCTTTTATTCAATACTAAACTAGTATTATGACATTGCCTTTAAGTCTATGGCATTTTCTCCCCTTCTTCATGAGATAGAGCTAATTTTTTTTACCTCTAATACATAATTAGAAGATTCATTTGTTAATCTTGGCTAACTTCTACTCTCATAATCTTCCAAGACTTCATTCTACTGTTCACAGATGTTTTAACTTTTTTGCCCCGTATAGTTTAAGTAAAAATCATATTGTTTTAAATAAAATATCTAACAACATCTTTTAAACAGGAACATTTAATATAAAAATATATTTAATGCATTTTATATTCAATATATTTTCTATTTAGATGAAGTTAACAATTCCATCACATTCATAATGTAATATATTGCATTAAAATGACATGGGTTTCTACTGTCCTTCTTTGAATCTTACTAATTTATTTTACTAGTAGACAGAAATGTACAAAAATGTACAACTCAAAGTGGTAGAAAAGGAATGATAACAGAGTGGTCTCCAGGAAAAGGGGAGGTTCCAGGTTCACTACACCACAAGAAGACTGGAGGAAGCAAGCAAGGCTGGAGAAAACGGGAACCTGGAGGAGACACATGGAGCAGAGAGACATCTGGAAAAGCTGCACTTGCTTTTTGGTCTTGGACTGGTTGAAACAGATGTGGGTGAGAGACCTGTGCAGAGGTTAACAACAGCAGCTTTTATCTTGATTTTCACTTTGCCCCTTCAGTCCTCAATTGCTGGGTCCCTTCTGCCCATTTCCTGTGGATCCTAGAGACTTTGGTAGGCTTTCAGGCCTGTGGCCCTGCTCTGGGCCAATTCTGTTTGGCTGGACATTTACAATCCACAAGGGGATGGGTGACTTTGGGTATCTTATTTGGAAACTTTATTCTGCCCCTTTTGTATTGCTAACTAGTTGTATGAAATTTCCTTTCCATTAATGGTCTTATGGAATAGAGTATGTTTTGTTTTGATGCAGCAGAAGGCAGAATCTATTTTGAAAGGGCAGGTTTGTGGGTGCTGGGGGGCCCCTCACCCTGCCCTATTACAGAACCATTAAAATGGAACTGTATGCTTTTAAAAGGGGGATGGTTATTTCTTACACCTCTAAGTAGCAACAATGTGTCCCCAATGTGCTGGGCCCCTTCTGCCCATTTCCTTGGGTCCCGAGCAGGAGGTCCCAGAGATTTGTAGGCTTTCAAGCCTCAGTGGCTCATAGTCTTCATTCCTCAATTATACACAAAGACAAGTTCAACTTCTGCTTCTTCAAAAAGAGAGAGAGAGAGAGAGAGAGAAATGGGCAAGTAGTAAACTAATAAATGAGACATGTTAATATACTGCATGACGCATAATACTGGAACCCATGGAAAAGTTCTGAAGATCTTATTGTTATGGACATAGTTCTCAGCTTTATAATCCACAGGCTTTTTCTGAAGTGGTAAAAATGTCTGGACCTCAGGATATATACCTCCAAAGTGTCAGCCCCTGCAGAGGCAGCTTCTCCTTCCGCAGAACCCCTGGTGGAGCCTGTGACTCCTGGTACAGATCACAGGGTTGTGGCATCAACTGCTGAACTGCCTGCGCCCTACGGCTAAGATCCAGTCCTGACGATGTCTACAGAATTTCCTTACCTCAGCTTGTCTTCATCTTTCATTTTTTACCTTTAATTTTCCTCTTTATTAGATTTTTATTGATGTATAAGAATGCCCCCTTTTAAAGTGCCTGGTTTGTTATTTCACATAGTTTCCATCTAAATCTGGAATATTTTCATCACCCCCAAAGAAAACCCATATTTATCAACAGTCACTCCCCAAT